GGAACTAATTGTTTTCTGAGGAGCACTATTTTTCCTGCTTTCCTTCTTCATCTTCTGTACTCATTTCTTGCACTTCTTTCCTCTTTTTGTAAGACCGAGGGCCTTACCAAACGCTCTGAGGAGCTGACTAGTGAAGCACACCCAGGAATCCCAGCGGTGTCTTCAGAATGTAAGACCAAGGGCCTTACCAAACGCTCCAAGGAGCTGACTACAGTGAAGAACACCCGGGAAGGAACACACCGGACAAGTTGGGAAACAGACCTTTATTAGTCTGGCCAGACGGCACTCCCAAAGCAAAATAGCTTAGAGAGGCCCTGGCTCAGAATCTGAGGCTGTTTTTATAGGGGGTTGAGGGGGAAGTTAACATATTAAAGAAAAGGGGACAAAGGTTAGTGGTCGACTGTCACATATTCATGGTCAGCAGACATCTGCAGCTTGTTCTAACAATTGTGGTGCCTGGAATATCAGCTCTGGATAAACAAAGAGTTGAGTAGTTTACTCTGGGACTCTAGGTCTGTTACAGATCCCTATCTAGCGTCCCTAGACTATCTGGGACTCTAGGTCTGTTACAGATCCCTATCTAGCGTCCCTAGACTATCTGGGACTCTAGGTCTGTTACAGATCCCTATCTAGCGTCCCTAGACTAACAAGCATCTCTATCCATTAACTCACATTTTAATCACAATGGGGCTGGAGAAAAAGGAACAAAGGTTATGTAGTCCCACATTATGAATATGTGTATGTGTGTGCACACCCTCCCAACACAACAGCGTGTGCACACACAGAGTCCATGTTTCCTGTCCTGAAACCCGGGAAGATGGCAGAGGGGCCACTTCTCCACTGATCCTGTGTGTCTGAGAGGAACACCGTCATATCAAATATCTGTGTCAGTACCGGCTCATCCTTGATAGCTCAGCTACTGAAGAGCAAGACTTTGAAAGTATCTTTCAAAATTTCCTTTTAAATATGATCATTTCCTACCACGAAGACAGTGTTCCATACCTACCTCAGAAAAATTTGAATTTAAACAAAGAAACGTAGAGAGTAAAAAGGGGAAAAGGAATGAGTGGTGGCTTATGAGAGACAGAAAGAGAGAGGTGGGGGAGGGGGACCAGTTTTTTTCCCACAGAAAGTTGGTTCCTAGCATGCTCTGGTCAACTCCACATGGTACCCAGGATATTTTGCAGTTGGCAGATTCGAAGGCCCTCAGAGGCCAGCTGGCACTTATCCTTCCTCCCTTTGTATTCCCCACAGAGCCGAACATAAAGTAAGAGAGCTATACATTTTTGTTGACTGTTAAATACTTTTATTTTAATTATGTTACTTAAAACATGCTAATGAATGAAGAGGATTGGGCAGCAACCAGGGGACCCTAGAACACCTGAAGTGATTATTTTGCCACTCCCCCATTTCACAGAGGAAGGGCAAGCTGGGGGTGTGACAGACCTGCTGAGTCTAACAGCGGCAGAGCCGGGAGGCAACCACTTCCTTCAAATCCCAGTCCTTTCATAATTAATAATCTAAAATCTTTCTGATTAAGGTTTCCCAGAACAGTCTGGGAATGCTTAATTATATAAAATCAGTCTTCTCCTTTGACCTTTCAGGACCATTGGAACATGAAGGCAACATTTATCTGTTTTAGCTTTATTTTCACCCTTTTATTAGAAGATATCGACAATACATAATAAATGCATTCATCATGAGGAGCTAGTACATGTAAATATCACATCTTGATCCTTTTTTAGCTCCTCTTCCCCTTCTCTCTCTCCCATCTCCCCCATCTCCAGATCCCCTTCCCATTTTCAATTTCTCCCTGCCCTTGGTCCCAAGTCTTGGCAATGTATCTTTTGCACTCTTGGGGATAAAAAGTACAAGCAAACAGACAAGCATGAAATGGCAGCCCATCACTGGGTTTCCTGGGTCTGAAGGCCCAGACCTTGGTATTTTCAAACAGGCTTCACAAGTGACTCTGAGAACCATGGCTCCAAATGGTGTATTTTGCTCCACGGCATTATTTCTAGAGTCCGTGTTCCCTGAGCTGAATTTGAGGTTCTTACTGATGAAATGTAAATTAAAACTTGGGAATTTCTGCATCTTGCTTCCTGTCTTTATTACCTATGGCATAACACACACCGAGGTCCTCCTGCTTGGGACCAAGTCTTATGCCATCTTTCTAGTTTTGAAAGTTTGGCAGTGTAGCCACACCAAAACAGAAGATATCTAGGTTGTCTTATTTAAAGACAACTGTGTGACCAAAGGAAAGAATGATACCCTGGCATAGTACCGAGCCTGCCACTTATTCATGAATCCGAGTTCTCTTCACCTGGAGCCCAGGGTTGGGTTAAATTTCTCTGTCTTCCTTGGAGGCAGCTGTGGGCACACGACCAGGTTCTTTGGTTCATTCTGTGAGATCAATATACCGTCAGCCTTCTCACCAGCCTTCGTGTTGTTTGCCACTCTAAGTTCTCTATTTTGTACTTCCTCACCCAGATTGACTCCCCTTGGGTCTGCTGGAGTCGGTGCTCTCAGAACCCACTTCATGCCTGCTCTGCATCAAGAAACTGTCTTCCAGCTGGGGATTTAGCTCAGTGGTTTCACCGCCTCCTGCGCAAGCACAAGGACCCAAGTTCGATCCCTGGTACCAAAAAAAAAGTGTCTTCCCTGCCTCCTCTCACTTATCACAATATTCCACCCATGTCCAACATTCACCTCACAGGCTGGCGTTTAGAGAAAACCGTTGATTCACAAAAGTAAGGCCATGCTAGCACACATGCTTTCTGCCTTAAATTAATTATTTCATTGTCGCTTTCTGTGGTATTGTTTTTATATGCCTATTTCTAGTCTGCCTTGGGCTGTGTGCCACATTTCTGGCCTTGGGAGAAGTATGCTTGAAAGAGCATGGAAATATCTTTTATAATATTCTCTTTTCTATGACAGCATGATGCCAGCTGCGATCTTTGTTTTTGTGTATTCTGAAATTGTCCTTAGAATAGGGGCATTTGTGTATTTCTAACTTGGGTGTCCTCCTCCATTTGTCAGATGCCTATTACAGCATGCATGTGTTGGTGGAACTGAAACCCGAACATGTAAGCAAATCAGTAAGTGCTCCTTAATAGGCTAACACTTTTGAAATTTGCAGCCTAGGCATTGTTCTAGAAGCTTACTTCTCTGTACAATAAAAGAGTGACTGTGTAAGGCAGTGCTTTTATTAACACCCCATATATGGTTTTGAATGTCAGATGATTGTAAAGGTTCCCTTTAAAGCATGTTTTACCTGAATGTAGCTTACTTTTGTCAGAGTGTGGATTTTCCTAACTTGATGCTAACAAAAGAAATCTCAGAGGGGTTGAAGGGAGGACAGGGGAAGGAGGAAAAATAAGAACCAAGAGAGATTATGTAAAGGTGTAAATTTCCAATGATGAATGTCATCATATTGTATACCTAAAATGTACCAATAAAATAATATTTAAAAAAAAGAAATCTCAGTTCCTCAACGTGGCTCACCTCAATTGCAGCTGCACTTTGATTTCCAGGCCACTCCCACTCCATTCCCTGCATACTTCTCTATTCACCATTGCTGGAGTGTACTGTGTATCAGTTAGGGAAATGCAACCTCCTGTAACAAGTAGACCAAAAATACATAGTCATTCTACACTATAGCTATTTCTTATCATTCAGCTGTGCAGGGTCAGTGCTTCTGATAAGCAAGACAGTTCTGTTCCCCAAGTCAGTCAGAAAATCAAATTGATGCAGGCTCTGCCACTGCAGTCTCCAGAGTGGTCCTGATTATCCTTTTCTAGCCAGTGAGAGGGCAAAGGGCTCAGAAGGTTCAGTGGGAGGTTTCTGGGCTAGGCTGTCAGTCCTCCAGGGACTGGGTTAATTCTCAAGGCAGTGGGCGAGCTCCTCCTCTAGTGGGATTGGATTAGTTACCCTGAGAATAGGTATTGCAAAGTAAGGTGACACCTTCATGTTTTCCTTCTTCTGCAGGTACCCACTCACCCTTCCATTTTTCTGTCATGTTCTAATGCCACAAAGGCCCCTGGTCCCTGTCTTGGACTTCCAGCTTTCAGAACTGTGCATCAAAATAAACCTCTAGTCTTTATGAATCACCCAGTCTCAGGCATTCTGTTATAGCATCAGAAAACAGACTGAGACAGCCACATGCCCTCTAGGACTCTGTCCTTTTGCTCATCAGCTTTACTAGCATATTTAAACCTCCTGGGCCCAGGTTCCCAGTTGCACTGACTTCTTCCTTCCTCTGTTCCCACTTGGAACCTGTTAGACTCTTTAATCTATTCTCCTTGTGCTCTGGTTGGCTGTTTACACCTTGGCTTTACTTACTTGACTGTAAGCCCCTTTAGCGCACCCTGGAAGAAAGTAGAGGTACAAAGTCATATGGGCCTGGGTTTAAATCAACTTTGCTATCTTTTAGCTATGAGACCCTGATCAAGTCACTTCCTTCTTCTCATTTTCCTCATTTTAAAAACCGAAGTAATACTTCGTAATGTTGTGAGGGTGAACTGTGGTAGCACTTACAATTTCCCAGTGGGATCTTGTATATAATAGGTGCTCAGTAAATGTTAACGTTGCTGCTTTTTGCCTCTTCCACAGTGATTTTTCTTTTTTGGTATTTTAAAAAATGTACCTGAACTGAGTTCTCAGTCCCAAGCCTTTGTAACAGCAGAGGCCCAAGTCCAGAGTATAAATGCCTGGAGTAGAGTGTGGGCAGCAGAGCGCAGGGCAGAAGGAAGCCACTTGGAATGGAGTCAGTGCTGTGGCTGTTCAGACATGCACTAGCTCTGGGGGACTTAAATTCTGTTAATTTCAGGCAAGCTTGCAGCTCCTCAGACAACCTCTGAGAATTACTTTCTACCAAGCAACAGCTGCCTCACTGCAGATAAGGCCACAGTCATAAGGCAGGGCTCAAGTCAAGCTGTCCCCAAGTGACCTACTTCAGCTTCCTCCAAAAGCAGCTGGGCACTAGAGTAAGAAGACACGGGTTGGGAAACTGGGTACCACGAGACTGGCCTAAAATATTGCTTAAAATGTCACAGAGGATTCTGCCTTGTCTGGATTTATTCTGATGTCCACACCTGCTCAGGGACTTTGGGAGATAACGTGTTAGCCTTGGCCACCTGGCTGGAGAAGGTGAGGAAGAGAAGGCCAGGCAGTGTGGACTTCTCCCTGGGTTATTGTTGTCCTTGTATCTCCAAGTCCCCCAGTTACCCTGTGTACCACAGGGGGTTGTGACCTGGGATGAGGAGCTGTGTGGCACAGGGATCAGGAGCAGGACTTTGGAGCCAGACCATTGGTGTGAATGGCATCCTCACAACCACTTTTTTCACCTCTGAGGTGTGAGTGACAAATTTTTTTGTATTTAATATGTACCATGTGAAGTTTTGATATATGTGTATACATTGTGAAATGGTTACCACAGCCAAGCTAACTGACACGTCCATCACTTCTTATAGTTACCTCTGTGTGTGTGTATCTAAGATGTACTCTTTTGTGTAGCTGGGATTATAGGCATGTGCCACAACACTTGGCTAAGATCTACTGTCTTAACAAATTGCAAGTATATAGTACATTGCTGTTAACTATGGTCACTATGCTGTATGTTAGTTCTCTAGAATTTATTCATCCTCACTGAAAGTTTGTATTTTAATTTCTTTTCATTTCCTCTATGCTCAGCTCCTGGTCTAGTCTTTGTTTCTGTGAATTTGACTTTTTAAATGATTCTACACATTGAGATCATGCAGTATTTATTTTTCTGTGTTTGGCCTATTAATATAATTTCATTCTGTTTCATGTTGAACATGATTCCAAGGTTTCTTTCTTTTTAAAGTTTCAATAATACCCCATTTTATGTATCTGTCCAATTTCCTTGCCTTTATGTCCACGAGTAGACACTTAGGTTGTTTCTATATCTTGGATGTTGTCCCTAGTGCTGCAGTAAACTTGGGAGTGCGGATGTCTCTTTGACACACTGATTTCCTTTTTTCAGCTATCTATATACAGAACTAGGATGCTTGGATCACACGGCAGTTCCAGTTCAAACTTTTGGAGCAGCCTCTGGGCTGTTTTCCACATTTATGTCACAAGTTACCTTTCCACCAGTCGTGTCCCAGGGTTCCCTCTTCTCTACACCCTTGCCAACACTCATCTTTTTGGTAGTAACCATTCTAACAGGTGTGAGATAATATCTTATTATGGTTTAGATTTGCAAATCCCAGGTAGTTAGTGATGTTGAACATTTTCCATATATTTACTGGCTGTTTCTATGTCTTCTTTGGAAAAAGACTTATTCAAAGCCTTAGCCCATTTAAAAATCATACGGGTTCTTTCTATATTTTGATCTGAACCCCCTATTGCAGACATGATTTGCAGATATTTTCTCTTGTGCAATGAGTTACAGACTCATAACTTACATATTATGTAACTTCATGTCAGCAAATTGCTCGGTGCTTTGATTTCCTGATGTGCAAAGTGTGCCACAAGTGATCGAGGTGTGTGTTAAATAATATTCACATATATGGGCCTGAAGAAACCTTTCCCTCCTCTCCTTGCTGTGCTCCATGGCAGGACTTACTACACCCAGTGGAGATGGGAGCCTCTACATTTCTCAGCAGTGACCACAGCAGGGCCAGGACTACCAACTTGGTGGGCTGGGTGTGTTTCTGTGTACAGATCAAAGTCAGATCTCAAGAAAGGCTTTGTGGCTGGGGGCAGAGGTAGGAGAGAATTCACCACAAAGGAATCAGAGTCCAGCTTGACCAGGAAAAGACTTCGGAGGTTTAGAGAGGATGGCATCCATGTGCAGTGGTGGTGGCTGGTGAGCAACCCTGTTCCGCCCCACTGTTGTGGCAGAGTCTTCTTTCACGGGGAGAAAGTGTCTGTGACCGGAGAGACACCTCAGGGTCCAAGAAGTCCCTTGATGGAGCATCCCAGGGCAGGGAAGGTTGCTCCCGAGTCACAAGGGACTGCTGAGGATGTTGAGGACCTAAGGACGGGAGGGGCTGGATTCTGGAGGGACTGGTGAGATGGGTCTGAGGAGATGGGGGCAGGAAGATCCTGTTTGGGTTGTTCGAAGCAGATGCCAAGATGGAGTTTGGTGTACAGTGTATTTTTTAGGAGTCAGCACTGTGGAAAGAAGGGGAAGCAATAGGATGGGGAAGAGTGAGAAGTTAAAGCTTGAGGCAGGCTGGGCCAGGAATTTAGCTCAGTGGTGCCGCCTCCTGCATCGCAAGCGCAAGGTCCCGAGCTTGATTCCTAGTACCAAAAAAAAAACCACAAACTGACCTTGATGCAGGCCCTGTAGAGCCTTGGCCAGCTTCTCTGGAACTCTGTACTTCATGTGGCCACAGGAGCGGGTGTAATGGTAGGGCCTTCACAGTTGCATTCATCCGGCTTAGGGTTCAGCCAGATGCTGGAGATCTGCCCCCCGAGGCAGACTCTGGAGGAACTGATGCTGGGACAAGTCCTTCTGGAAGGGCATGTGGCTGGCACATCTCTATGACAACTGCAGCTTCTAGGGCCACAGAGGAGATTCACAGAGATGCCGGGATTGTGGGAACAGCGCGCCACTGAAGCCCGGTGTTCCTACATTAGCAAATTGGACTTGGGAGTTGATCAGATGCATGCAGTTAATATTAATGTGACCTTGCTCATAGCCATACCCTGGTGAGGTAGGGGGACAGTCAGTTTTATATATCAATTGCACCATTAAATTAAAAATAACAAAAATAATAAAAAAAGACCTAAAGTTCTATCTCCTCTAGTCACTTGCTCCCTTCTGTTTTTTTTCTCAGATGTGCCTACAACTGTGATAGAGTCTAGTTTTATCTTGTAGTTAGGCTAATTCAAGGAGTCAGATCTGGCCGTCTAGACACAGTGTGGGGAAAGCAGCCCTGGTGGTAATGAAGGGCGTGGTGAGTGAGCAGATGCGACATACATCACTGGGCAGCCCGGGCACAAGTAAAGAATCAGCTGCAGGAAATAAATATTCTTATAGCTCTGAGTAGGCGCTCCATTCCCCCTTTTAGAGGACTTAATCTTTATGATTAAATGGTAGTGTTGATATCAAGAGCAATGTTCTTAATATCTTGCTCCAGCTTGTTTCTTCTGAGTCATCAGGACAATTTCCCTGAGGTTGTTAGTTTTTGCATGTTTGTCTCATAACAGGCAGCTGCATTTTGGGTTGATTATTTGCATTTTAAAAAATAGGCTGCTCACACTGCATTAAATTTTTATAGCTACTGTGTTCATTGATCAGATCACTATGTTAGCAGTTGTTATTCCAGCTGTATATTTTAATTACACTTGAACAATCAGCCTTTCTTAGTCCTTGAGTAATTTGCAGAGTTTAATTTGTCCCTCTATCTAATTCCGACTTAAATTATTTCATTAGTGTTGGCAGTCCTGTATTACACACCCTTCCTGGTCTTTTTTAAATCAATTTCTGGGGTTTTAATTATGTAGAACAGTCAATAAAAGATCATGCCAACAAAAGAACTATCGAAGCAAGTGATCATGAAGAATATATGCCCACAAGGTATATTTTATTAATGAACATTCTGAACATTCATGCCAAAACATTAACTAATTGATTCATACCATACCCGAGAAGAATGGTCAGCAATTTTATTTTTCATTTACTTAATGACAAACTGTGGCACGTAGAAGCCATGCAAAGTTTTGAAAATTGCACAACAAATTAGAGGGGAATTATTAGGTATTTTTGGATCACAGAAACATTAAAATAAATGGTTTACTTGAAAACAATCAGAATACATTAAACTGATGAAAACACTGAATTCTGATAGATATTTTATTTTCATATTTAAGAAATCATTGAAGAAGCATTTAGTTCAGGTATAGCATCTCAACTCTACACTTGACTCCTTGCTTGTCTTCTGGATTCTACACAGTTTATTATTTAAAGCTAAATTCAAATAAATGCCTTTGAAGGGATATGAACTGCCTAGTTGTTTATCTGTCCCTGGATTCTTGGATTGGCCTTCTGGATTCTATTAGGCACTGGACTTTACTGCACCGGTTTCTTGTTCAGCTAGAAAACTAAGATGCAAGGGGCTGAAGTTGTAAGGTTCCCATAAAATTACTTGTTGAGATAATATAGAACATTTCTTTCATGGATCCAGTCCAGTGTATTTTTTCCGTTACACTGAGCAGCCTCTATAAATTTCTTTCAGATAATTAAAGCAAGACAAATATTTCACTAAGTCTTTTTGGATTATGGAAATAAGGCCTTACAGCTATAAGATAGATACACAGAGCGGGTCGTCAGTTTGCCAGTGCTTAAAAAGCATGTTGGTTTGGAGTGGCGTAGAGAATGCTGGCTGTGAGAGCAGAGACCGTTTCTGTCCTGTGTCACTATCTGAAAGCTATTTGACTCCACAGGCTTCAGTTTCCTAAGAGTATTGTACTAGATGAGCTCTAAGTTCCCTTCCAGCCTCAGGATCCTATGATTCTTTCATGAACTTCAATAAAAGAATACACAGGAGGAAGAGAAAGATAAGCCATTGGATTAAAATGCCACTGTGCCAGGGATTCAGTTGTCTTCTGGCAGCATTTTTTAAAACTGAGCTTTAACATCCTTGCTCACTTTCTCAGTAGGCTAGGAACTTCATAACCATGTGGTCCAGGGAAGTGGTGACTGGTAAATATACGCATTAATACCTAAAAGGTCCAGGAAGAAACTTCAGAGGTCTTTACACTTTCTGATCTCTTTGGGGAGGGTATTGCCAAGTCACCAGCTGTCATGTTAACTAAGATCATGAACCCCTTGAGGAAAGGGCTCTTTTTCATTCATGTTGCTTTTCTGAGTGGTTATTGCATTGTCTGGTATGCAGTAAGTAATACATTTTGAATGAATTTCAATATTCAGAGAAGGATCATGGAATCTTAGTGCTGGGAAGGGTCTCAGAAAACAAACTGAGCTGCTCTGCTAATGGCAGAAATCTTCCCTATAGTATCCTAGAAAGATGCTCACCAGCTGTACTAATATACCCCTGCATTCATTTCATGAATATTCCCCGAGTGTCTCCTGTGTGTACCAGGAAGGATGATAGGAAACCACAGTGAATTTGGGGAGTTTTCTTGTCCATTTAACAGAGGGAGTCCAACCCTTTCTCCAAAGCTTCGGTGGGTACCTGATGGAAAACTTAGTTTTTTGAAAGAAGAATTAAAGAAAAATGTGAGCATGGATGGGGAATAACAGTGCTGAGGGACAGGCTGGGCCTGAATTCAGGAATGCACTGTTCAAAATCTTCAGACTCCACCAGTGTCCCCTGCAATGAAATCAAATCTATGCTGTTTGTTATCTCACCCTTAGCTCATAGATGCTTTTCTTTGGCTAAACAGAACCTCTCAATATTTACTTACGCACTACTTGCATTTTCTTCTTCTTAGTCTTTGGTTAGGTTTTCCATTACTTTGGGATTCCCTTGCCTCTGCCTAGAAGGCTTTTGGCTCCCATCTGACCACGCCTGTGGCCTTACCACCATTTAAGGCCCATCTACAAGGCTACCTCCTCCACAGAGCACTCCTTTTCAGGGTGCTTCTCCAGCTCCTACCATCCTCCCAGCTGGAACTACTCTTTCCCTATTTTATGCTTCTGTAGACCTTGATCTGTGCTTCCTTTTCAGCCAGTGTCTGCTTTTAAATTGAATATAATTATCATAGCCATTAAACGATAATTATACTGGGCTAAGCTCCTTGGAAACTGTGTCCTTGTCTGTTATCTTTTTGAATTATCCACAGGCCAGGTTGAGTGCTTGGTAGTCAACAAGTATTAAATAAATAGAATAAATTGCTCTCAGAAAATGCCAGATCTAAACATACCCATGAAAAACAGAGTCACTGTATGGGCCGATCTCGAGAGTGTAACATTAAAAAAGGAAAAAAAACCCTACCTGTTTAGAGTTCCAAAAACATTAGAAAAAACAAATTTAATCTACAAGAAAGCAGTCTCTTAAAAATATATCAAAAACAAACAGGCAAATGAAATGCAAACACAAAATTAAACAAAAAACACATTCATAATGTATATGCAACCTCCTAAAATCATCTTTTCTGATCTTTTGCTCTAAAAATGTCTCACAGGCCTTCTCTGACCACATTGAGCACCTGTCTGAGCACCCCCACTCCGGCTGGTTCAGCAGGCCCTGGGCCCCAGCTCCTTCTCTCTGCTCTTGCCAGCACTGAGTTAGCCGGTCTCCCTGATTCTGCAGTTTCCTCTCATCCTCCCCCCATCGGGGTCATGAAAGCACAAGAGCCGATGGTGTTTGGTAAGCCACAATTCCTTAGGGTGGAAGTGAGCTGGGAGTCCATGGGTGGCTCCCTTCCTCATGTATAGAGGCTGTTATGATGCATTTCGATTCACCATCAAGACAGCCCAAGTGGGGTTTAACTAAGGATTTCTGGGACTGGGGATTGTCATCACTCATTGACAAGCGAGAGCTTGCTCTGGGGTTAGTGGCTCAGAGTCTCTCCTGGAGTGGGGCCTTGGGGCCAAATGTCTCACAGGCAGGTGTGACAGTGGTCAGGCAGGGGAGGGCTGGGCTTGGCACTGGTTGGCAGACATCAGCTCCCAAGCTCTGAGGAGCCAGCGCCTCCTAAACCATTTGTCCCTCATGCTGACAGGAGACGCCCTCCCCTGGTAGGAGATGACAGTAAGCATTTTTCAGCTTGTGCTTTCAAAATGTAACCAGTGTAGTATTTTTTATTCCAGTGCTGCTTGGCTTGCTTCATTTGCTTTTATGACAGTGCTTGGGTACGATTAAATGACAATTTAATGTGTATAATAACTCATTTAAAGTTTTAGCGAGGGCTTGAATGAAGGTGATGGGGTTTGAGCACATTTTTGAGCAAGCTGTACAGTTTAAACCTAAGCCAGGGGGCAACTTAGAAAGATTTCTTATCTTGGCAGCAAAATAGCTTTAATTTCTACAATCTTTCTCTTCTCTTCAGCTCTTTCTTCCTCCTACACATTTAGTTCTGTATCTCAACTGTGCAGGAAAAGAACGCTGGGGAATCTGGGCTTAATTTGCGTTTGAAATATTTCTTATTGGGATTCATAAGATATCTGAAGATTATCTTTGGGCACTGAAACCTCTCTGGGCCTGAGGTTGTATGAACCAGCAACAGTTTGAGGGGCTCAGAGGCTGTCGACACAGACCACAGCTCTAGGCTTTCCTGGTGCTCCTGGCTGAGTGAGAGAATATCCTTTGCTACTCATTTGCCTGTCTGTGTCTTCTGAGGAAGAGCAGATGACTGACTTCCCCATTACTCAGTGAGCCATTGGTGGAGGATAGAACAGGAGATGCTTTGGCTTTCTCTTCTCAGCAGAGACCCCTGGCTGAACCCAGGAATTTGCCCTGTGGTCACAAAACTGATAATGTGCTCCTTTACTGCCAGCTTGGTGACTGCTGTGGTCCTGGCCCAGGGGGCGTGGAGTGGAAGGGGCACCTGGCCCCAGAGATGTGTCTAGCTTCAAATGTGCCTGCCCTGCATGTGACAGTGGGCTGAGAAGGTCCCAGAGTAACTTTCCCTAGGGCTGGAGCTTCTGGGTCTTAAGCTCTAAATAGTCTATGAGGGACCAGTATTGGTTTGAGGATGAAAGGTTGTGGTTGTTTTCAGGCTTTGAAAAGGCCATTAACAGAGCACACCATATGACAGTCAGGGTCTAGAACTTCTAGGAGTGTCCATGGGTCCAGAGCTCTGCATGCCGCAACCCAGGGCACCAAGTCCCCAGGAGGGAGGGCTGGCTGGGCTTCCGTGTAGGTGGAAGCAAAGCCACCCACATTTCAGAGCCATCACTTTTCAACTCCCGGGTCCTCCATCCTGATTCTAGGGTCCCAGAACTGTTTGTCCTTGAGAGCATTGTTAACTTCCTTCTCTTCTCTCAGCTGCTTTGGAGCAGAGGAAGTCTAAGCTGTGACAAGCTAGCATGGACAGAAATGACCCAGTTTCTAGAAGTGTGGCCCAGCAAGGTGTTTTTTAAAAAAAATTATTAATTTTAAGGATACATTTTAATTCCTAAGTTAGTCCTGGATGTGATTTGGGACTCCCTTTTCAGAACGATGTCTTGGCTTGACCAGTTAGTAATTCCAACGTAATGTTTTCAGCTTTAGCAGCAATCTGTGTTTTCCTGACAGGCAGAAGGTGAGAAAGTCAGGTTTCAGCGGCTCATTTCCTTCTTCTGGGAGGTGTGTGAGTGCTGCTGACCTGGAAGGTGCTGCGGAGTCTCCTGAGTGGAGAGTGAGTAAGCCAGGACAAAGAGGCTGAATCTTTTCGCGGAAGCCTTTCAGATCCAAGTGGAAATGGATGTCTTAATTACACATGCTTTTCTGGTTTTGTTTGTTTTGTTTTTTCCTACATGAAGAGGCAGTTAATTTCCACAAAGCACAACAACCATATTTTTGAATGTCAAGTTTTACAGTTATTTTGTTTGCTTCTCAATGGCTATTTCCAAAATAGGGGCTGGGGGGTGGTGTGAGCATTTTGAGAATAACAGGGTAGCCAGACCAACAGTAGGGTACCACTTTATAGGGCAATCAGAGGGAGAGCTGAAATCACAACCTCTCATTTATCCACTGGTAATAATGCAGCTGGAATTACAGGGTGTTTTTCTGGCAGGAGCATTTGTTTCTATAGAACAGGACAGATTCAAAAATGCATTTTTCGTTAGTAACCCCACTTCCCCTCACTGGGAGACAAAGGACTTGAATACCACTTTTGTGTTCACTGGCTAATTGTGTGTATGAAGTGTAATTAAAACATAAGTTGAATGTTTAAGTTAAAAAAACTTACTACAGTAAAAGACACAGTACGTTAATCCCACACAGGATACTCCCTCTCACTTTGAACTTCGGTATCCCAACATTCTGGCCGCTTTCTGAAGTAGCTCTAGAGGTCCTCTTCCACGGGTATTTTTAGTTGTGCTGCCATGGCTGCTTGATGTCATGGCTTCCTCGATGTCCAGATGTCCAGAAATGATCTTTCATGGTCATTTAGACTTTGGGAAGAGGCATAAGTCATGTGGTACCAGATCTGGTGAGTAGGTGGATGAAGATCCACTGTGATGTTTTTTTATGAGCTGCCTTTCCATCGGATGGCACTTGGCAGGTGCATTCACTGTAGTTTTGACCAAAGCTTGTAAAGACACTCATGAAAGAAGACTTCCAGTACTGCTTCAGAAAGTGGCAAGAACGATGGGATGAGTGTGTTTAAAGTGGTGGGGACGGTTTTGAGAGGGATTAATGGCAATGCTTTTTATTGTGATAATTAAAAAAATTAAGCATTCACTCTGTATTTTGGTCTCACCACCCATGAGTTCTGTGTGCATGTGTAGGGATAGGAGAGGGGTCTGCAGGAAGAGTATGAAAATAGGTAGGGCTGCCCCTGCTTTCCCAGCCCTCTAGCTCCAAGCCAGGCAATTGAGGTTGGGAAAGAAAAATGGGCACATGGTGGAAGAATGATGAAAAAGATCACGGACCACAAGGGGCCATGGTTTTTTGTCTTTATTGCTCATGCATAAATTTAACTCTGAAGGCTAAATTTCAATTCTGTAAAAAAAAATATCAACTTAATTTTGACCCTATTTTAGAGGATTTAGCAGAATGTTACATCTTAAATCAAGAGGATTCTCCGTGCTGCTTTCAGGCCCTGTGGAGAGCTCTAGGGAGTCATTTATTAACTCAGGGACTGAAACGGGATGCACAGGCTGGACACAAATCTAAGAGGAAGGAGGAGGTGGGACCAGGCAGGACAGGGAAGGGGCGCTGGCTCATCACAGTCAGTACAGAGGCCCTGGACAGTGGAAAAGGCTTCTACACCAAGGATGCTTATTATAAGAAGGATGGAGTCTGGTGTTTACTACCAGCATAGAGTGGACAAATAGTTCATGAATTTATTTTGTTGAGTTTTCCCATTTATGATAGGTGGTTTTGGGTCAACAGGTCTTGCCTTTGGGGATGTGCCCTGTTGGTACCAGTGGTGGCCTCTGAAGACAGGGTGTCCCTTTCGCCACTCACCTCAGTGGTGACACACTGCCCCTGACTGAAGAATGAAACCAGTGCTGGACTGGCCCCTCTGTCCCCTGAGCAGGAGGTTGTGTCTCTGGTCCCTGGCCCTAAACATTTCAGATGGGACAGAGATGGGGAGTGCATCAGTGATGGGGCTTGTGGGGGAGCTCTCTGATTCATACCTGGAAAGCAGTTCTGGAGGCTTCTGTGGGTCTTATTTTTCTGATAATTCTTTTTTTTTTTTGAGCCTATTACTAACCAGTGGGAGGTGGACACATCTGTGCATTACATCCTGTTTGTTTCTGCTTATCTTCCTTTTTTATTATTTACTTATTTTTTGAAACAGGGTCTCACTATGTAGTCCAGGCTGGCCTCATGACCTACCTTAGCTTGCTGAGTGCTAGAATTACAGATATGTGCCACCATGCCCAGCTCTTTATTTTTGATGATTTCCACCATGTTGAAGGAACAAATAGCAGAGGCTCCATTTTTCTGACAGGACTGAAAGTCTACTACCGACCTTCCCTGCGAAGACTAGCCCTGATTGCTGGTCTGGATTCTAAGGTGAGATGTAGTGGCTCCCAGGCAACTCAGTCAGACCCTCTGATCCACAAACCTATTTGATTAGGGCAGTTAAATTCTCAGCATCTCTTTACCACCTGTACCCCAAATAGGAAGTAGGAGCTGAGGGATTGAATGGTTATGTATTGTCCCACAGAAGCACAAACCTGCCATAGAGCAGGGATGCCTGAGCCTAAATCACACCCTGTGTGTATCTTTTATCATGAGCTAATCCACCTCTCTCCTAGGGAGGGAGGCTGCGTGGGTGTTGTCATTTCCAGAATGAGATGAGGACAGGCTCACATGCTGGCCCCTCAGCTCAGCAGCTGCTCCAGGTTCTGAGACCAACTCCAGCTGAGGAGCTGCAGAAAGGTGGCAGAGTGCCGTGGTCCTCTTCTGCGCTGGAGGACAGGGCCACTGTGCAGCTCAACAGGGCAGAGTGGGTGTTGAGTGCCAGCCTGTGTCTGAAGATGATGCCACCTTCAGGACGGGGTGCCCTTTCCCTCTTTCCTAATTTGCAAAATGACATTCTGCTGAACTTTGCATGGGATGCCTTTTTCCTTTTTGTCCACAGATCCTGTGTGTGCCAAGACTCTTGTGCGCCCAGTATGCCATGAATCCCACTGCACATTGTGCGGCCAGCTGGATGCTAGAGGGAAGGTTAATGGAAGTCCCCAGTGGTCAGCTTGTCCTATTAGCACCATGGAATTCAACAGGCCTGCTTGTGAAGGAATGTGACCGAGTTAGGCAAGGAGGACACAGAGTCAGCCCTGCATGCCTCTGTTCTCCCCCTTCTTTTATATGCAGACCTTCTGGTTGCCTCCTGAAGGAGGGAAGCCACATTACAAAGAAAAGTGGAGTAAATTTCAGGGAAGTGATACACAAGCACAAAGAAAAATTCAATGTAAAATGGCCCCCAAATATAAACGAAGAGCCAGGAGTTTGTCTTTGGGCTGTCTTTAAGAAATGCGACAAAATCCAATTGCTATGGCTGCATGAGACTCATCTGATCTGCAGGCCTTCCATTCCACGGGGGCTAAAACTGTTTTGTTTTCAAAGGGAAAACATATCTGTGTTTGCCCTCCTTTGCTTTGTAAAATTGAATCGCAGAGAACTCATGAATAATAGAAAGAACACTAAGAACTGTGAAATTAACACTGGCAGAAACAATTTCTAAAAGGAGAAAGTCCTGAAGGAAGGCTCCCTTCCACTTTCCCTCCACAGGACCTGGAGGCTGGGACATCTGAGCCTGGGAGAGTGGGTAAGGTCTTGGAGGCCTGCTTTGGCTCCTCCTTATAGCCTGGTGAACATTTTCAAATTCTTTAAGTCCAATCGCTTTTCTTTTCTTTCCTCTTTTTTTGAGACAGGGTCTTGCTATGTATTCCAGGCTGGCCTCGAACTCACTGTATAGCCCAGGCTGGCCTCAAGCACATGGTGATCCTTCTGCCCCAGCCTCCTGAGTGCTGGAATTACAGGTTTTCTTTTCTTATTTTGTGGAGAACATCAAGAGTGGGAACTCTAGTGGTTATGGTTCCACTGAAGACGCGGGAGCATCCATCTCACTCTTTAGTATTGATGGTGGCTGAGTTTTATTGAACACTTACTGTGTGCCAGGCACTGTGATTTATATACATCTTCTCACATATTTTCATAACTACTGCTGTAGATTGGATGTGGTATGTACTCCACACATATGGCTCATGTGTTGGAGGCTGGGCCCTCAGAGTGACAGTGTTGAGGTGGTGGGGTCTCAAGGGGTGGGCCTAGTGGAAGGTCCTTAGGTCATTGGTGTGTGCCTTTGAAAGGGATTAGTGAGGTTCTCATGGGACCCCAGTTTGTCTTTTGTCTAGCGATGTGATCTCTTCCTGTCACATGCATCTCATCACTGTGATGCCACCCACCGAAGATCCTAACCTGCACTGGGCTGATGCTAGTGCATGTCCTCAAATCTTTAGAATGGTGAGGCTGTTAAGAGAGAACCTCTTTTTTTTTTTTGTATTAAATTCTTTTATTGGTACATTGTAGGTATACAACACAATTACATTTCTCATTGGGAACTGTACCTTTATATAATGCATCTTAGTTCTTGTTTTTCCCCATTCCTAGCCCTCCCTTCATGCCCTCCACCCTTCCCTATTTACAAAGACTTTATTTCCAGTTTTTCCATTTCTCATCATTTTTTCCTTTCCCTTCTTTCCTTTCCCCTGCCTCTTCCACTACCCCTACCCCTTTGGACCTTTTCTTCTTATTTTACAGTATCGATTATTCATTCTAATCATTGGTACATTTTAGGTATACAATATAATGACATTCATCATTGGAAATTTGCACCTTTACATAGTCTCTCTTGGTTCTTATTTTTCACCCTTGCCCAGCCCTCCCTTCAACCCCTCCAGTCCACCCTATTTACAAAGATTTTGGAGAACCTCTTTTCTTTATAAAGTCACCCAGCTTTGGGTATAGTAACAGAAAATGGACAAATGCATCTCCCTATCGAGGTAGGTACGATGATCTCTATGGGTACAGAAAAAGAGGGTAGGAAAGGCTGAGTAGATAGCTAGTAGAGATGGAGTTGGCTACCCTACCCTATCCACTTTTTTTTAAAGCTTTTTAAGGTACTGGGCATTAAACCAGGGCCTTGAACATGCTAAGCACACGTTTATTGCTGAGCTATGCTCCTGGCTCTGAATGACTGAGTCCACCAGCTCAACCCCCAGAGCACTCCTTCCCCTTTGTGACTCCTTATGCTAGTCTGCAGAGCCCCCCTACCACTTCTGCCATGGCCTAGTGGCCCCTCTTCCATCTCCTTTCACTGTCCCACAAGGCAGTGTCCTGCCTTGGAATGGCTTGGATTTTACATCCTCTCCGGGTTGCCTTGGGCTCCTGTAGATGAAGCTGGGGAAGAGAGGGTGTCCTACAAGAGTGAGCTTCATGTGGATAAATAATACTATGGGCTGTTTCCAACCTGTAGTCACCATAGCACATGGGAAAGTGCGTAAAAGCTGTAAAGAACAGCACAATGGATGTGGTTATGAAGCCGAGCCTGGAAGCAGACATTCACTTGAGAATTGTTTATTGAGCTAATTGTTTATTGCCTAGCACTGAGCTAAATGCTGGGTTTGAATTCAAGATTCACTACTGAGAGCTCTGGATCTTGGAGGATTTATTCAACCTCTTTAATGAGAAGAATAAGAATTACCTCTGGGCTGTTCTAAGATTAGGAGCTGGCACAAAGTAAGAGCTCAGTACATGGTATTATTAATAAAATTACAAAAGAGTGGTGTTGCTGGCCAGCACTCACTTCCTTTACTTCCTCTTAGGAGTCTGCTTGCCAAGGTTTCGGCTGGCTGGTGTGTGGCACGGTGGCCTGGGCAGTTAATGTGATAAGCTAAGCCATTAGCCTTTGCAGAGGCCTCTTAGAAAGATAATGACTCAGCCCCAAGCAATTCCTAATTCTCAGCACATGGCCTACTCGAGTGGGAATCATTTCAGCCAGGGACTTGGGCATCAGACCATCAAATACCTACCTGCTTCTGCACTTTTGCTACCTGTTTTCTCCTGGCAAAAAAGAAGTTTGCTGGCTATGATCAAAGGAATGGGTAGTTGCTTCAGAAATATGGATAAATTTATTTTAAACAATGAAAAAAAATCTCCACTTGTCCTTCTGGGTGTTAGTATCTCACCTCTATTTAATGCATAGTCTACTGACGGTAGCACTTGAGGTTTTTCCGATGCCCTCAATAACACTACTTGGCTAATCGAATGTGATTCAGCTAATAGGTTTTCCATCAGCATTTATGGACCGTCTCATCCATGAACCTTCCAGCCAGAGAAGAGTGTGCATGCAGTAGGCCTGAGACACTCTCCTTTCCAAGGCAACTACACCTGTTTGAAAATCAGCGTGTAGAACTGGGTTTCCCTGGTGTGTCCTCTGAAACATAACGAGAACCACTCTGCAGAAAAGAGTGAAAAGGACTTGAAGCAGTCCTGTTTATAAGAGTACAGTTTTTTTTTTTAAATCTACAAAGCTGAATGGTTACTAATAGTAACTGCTTTAGGATGATTTAAGTTATTAGCAGGAAACACAGTGGGATCAGAATAGCTGCACTAAGGTTAGACTTGGTGAAAGAATTTCATTGTAAATTTTTTGTTTCAAAATGATACAGGCTCACTACAAGTTTCAAAGAGGGCACATCCACCTACCTTCCTCTAATGGTAGCACCTTATGTACTGATGTCAGCGGTTCCTTTTTAAGAGTCGGAGAGTATTGTAAAATGTATTTGTATTGCCTGGGTCGGTGCAGACTCCTGCTCAGAGGCCTCTGCCTACAGTTCAGTTCTCTGCTTAGCAGGCAGTGTTTCCCTGCTCCTCCACAACCTCCCCTGGCTTCCGTCTCACTTGAATCCCTGGGTTCTTGGCTTCAGTACTCATTTCTGCCTGGCCCTCTGTTCTCCTAACTCTTGTCCTACCACCCTCCCTGGTCCCCTGGCCACACCAGCTTCTACCGCTGCTGTCCTCTATCGTGGTGAGGGTGCTGGGGCAGGATCTTTTCCTCAGGGTCTCCACCTGCCTGGCAGTTGACTCACTCCTCTGTCTCCCTGCTCATCTCTGGCATTCCTCAACACCTTTCCCTGTCTTCTTTTTCATTTTTGTACTCTTGTCCAGCTCATACACAACCTCTCCTCTGGCTTAATCAGATTTTATATCTCTTTTCTTCCTTCCCTCAAGGAAAGCTCTTTGATAGTGAAAATTTTCCTCCAAATTGTTCACCTTTGAATCTTCAGGCCTAGAAATGTGTCTGGCATGCACTCAGCACTCAGTGCACGTGCATTGAATTGAGTGTAATTATGGGTGGATTATTTAGTTTTTAATTTGTTAAGTTCCACTCTGGGTGTTTAGATAGAACAACAAAAACAATAGCCTCCTGTCATGTGAGAACTTAAGGTTTTCAGACACTTTTACATCTAAGTTATTGAAGAGCAAGTATTAAAATATCCTGAGAGCAGCAAAAGTCTATTTGGGATTCTAAATAAGTCAAAATTTGGGGCATGTTGTAAAACCAACTGAAAGTGGAAATCTACATACCAAAAGAAATCTACATATAAATGAGAAACACATTAAAGACTCAGATCAAAGAAGGAAAGGGGCCTAGCAAGGAAAGAACTGATGCACAATCTCAACTTCTCTCCCAAGTCACTTTCTGACCTACAGACAATTTGATAACGGCTGGCACTCATTATTTTTTTTCTAGGGGAAGATGACTTCCTTCTTTCTCTAATTCATCATAGTTTGTTTTAGTCATTTGTTTTGAGATCTTCAAGCTGCGACTTGCTATTTGTAATGAGCTAAGGAAGGCACATTGGGTCCTGTGAAACTTTCATTATTGTTAAAACTAATGTGGTGGAGTTGAGCCCTCTCTTGGGGCTTCCCTATAGCCATTGCTTGCTATCAGTAATTTCAGTAAATATTCATAAATCTGCCATCATAGAAATTAAGTAGGATGCCTCAAAATTACTTTGGGGGCATAAGGAGGGCCCTAAAGAGTGAACTCAGAGAATGCATTTCATTTGCCTGTTTGAAATGAAGTGAGTGTTTTTTTTGTCGGCAGATGACATGCGCTACCCTGGAGAAGGATTCCAGAGCTCTGCTGATAGTCTTCAGGGCAACCAGTGCACTGGGGTTGTGGCAGCTCTCCCCGTACCGGCGTGGGGGCCTCCGAGGGGCCACTGGCAACTTCTTCGGTGCTCTCATCAGCAAGAAGGGACTGCGGTCACTGACTATACTTTAGATTATACTTTTTCAAGACTCCTCAGTGACATTCCTTGCTAGTGAGTGGATTTTCCCCAGGCCAATACATATTCACTGAGTGACTCCAGAAGGGGAGGTGCCCCACATGTGAAAAACCCCAGCAAGGCCCAGCCCCATCTGGAAAGAGCTGATAAACGAAGGGATTTCTGATGGGGCTGTTCTGTTGGACACATTTAACTGTAGGATTGAATCTTCTCTACCCTGCCCCCTTTCATTATCACTCTGTGGGCAAATCTAGGTCCTGGGGTCAAGGGCAGAAAGATTCTAATGAATCTAGTGAATTCATGAAGCTGCCTTGAGAGGCTGTTTCTAGAGACAGACATCTGTTCTTGGAATCACTTAAAGGAGAGCTATCATTTAGGAAATTAAATGCCTCAGCAATATTTGCAGTTGTGGAAGATCAAGGTCAGGAGGGAAAAAAACCCCAAGAGGTCACTCTTGTCACTGATTTCAAAGGAGCTAATTCTTAGGGTTATTAGCTGCCTTAATTTACAACGCTATATACTCTTGAACACCAAATGCTCATTATCAAAAATTAAAGAAGCTTGGAGCTGTGATTTGAATTATATTTTAGTTAATAGATTTTGGAACATGCTTCCTATTGTTAAGATTGACCTGACCTTATAACTAATTAAGTTTCCAGTGGGCATGGAATCCTAGTTGTAATACCTTGTCTCCATGAGTATGAGGGAAACAAGAAAATCCTTCTATGCTTTTATTTCTTTTGTGGTGGCAGCCAAAACTGCTAGATAGGCAAACCTAGGCTTTCGAGTCCACAGCCTTCACTCTCCTTGGACTCCATATGTCCTAAGGTTTTCATTACTTGCTTTATCAGAATCTTTCCTTAGGAAGAAAACATGAGCATCCTTAGTTCAAAGGCTTGACAATACCTTAATGGGTGTTGTTATGGTTTAGATCTAAACTGTCTAACAAAATGTGTTTAGAGGTGGGGATTTTGGAAGGCGATTGGATCATGGAGGTGCAGTACTTATAAGTGGATTCATCCTTTGGTGGGTTCATAGCTGAGTGTGCCATTAGAAGATAGGACCCAGTGGGAGGAGGTGGGTCATTGGGGGTGTGCCTTTGGAAGGTCCTCCATCTCCTACCGTGTCTCTATCTCCCTTGCTTTCCCTCTGTTTCCTGTGGCCACAAGGTGAACAGCTTTCCTTTGGTAGCCTCTCTGCCATGATGTTCCTTCACTGAAGCCACTAACCATGGATGGAAACCTCTGTGATGGTGAGCCAAATAAACCTTTCCTTAAGTTGTGGGTTTCAAGAATTTTGTTCTGGTGAAGAAAAGGTGACTAATACAGGTTTTATGGGTTCAGTTATGACCCCCAAAATTCTTATGTTGCAGTTCTAACCCCTAGGACCTGAGAATGTGACTGTTCGGAGACAGGGCCTCAAAGATCTGAAGCAGGTTAAATGAGGTCCATAGGGTGGGCTCTGATCCAATGTGCCTGGTGTTCTAGAAAAGGCAATGAGAACACACAGACACAGTGGGAAGCCCATGAGAGGCCACAGGAAAAGACAGCCACTCCCAGGCCTAGGAGATGGGCCTTAGAAAAAACCAAAATCAATGGCACTTTGATCTTGGACGTTCCAGTCTCCAAAATTGGAAGAAAATAAATTTTTGTTGTTCAAGCCACACAGTCTATGGTATTTGCACTGTGGTATCTTGAGAGAAATGATATAATAGATTTATAGGAATTCAGCAAGACCTATTAGAATAGTGAGTTTTTAGGCTGTTTCTATGTGTATGAGAATTCAGAGGTAGATGGTGACATACTGAGTCCAAAGTAAGGCTGGCCTCTTGCAGTGACTCTAAGACCAGTGACTCTGGTCTTTCTACTTTTGTCTTTTCTTGTTCCAAGTCATGCTAAGAATGAAACCACACCAACCAGCCAAGCAACCAAGCAACAAACCAACCAATAAAACCTTCATTAAATATGATTTTGTCACAATTCTAATCAAGTATGCAATTCACATTATATACTGTCATATTTGCCTGTTGTAGTTCTCTACCCACATCTGAATTCTCCTTTACTCTCTCAACATCTTCTGGTGCTTTTATTTTTCACAATTACATTTCTCACAATTCCCTGGACTTTATTCTTCAAATTATTGTCCCATCTCAGACTTCCTTACGATGATTTCTGTGCTTCTGCCTTTCACATTTCACCTCCAAAATGCTTTTTGTTTCCTGTTTCCCCACAGGCCATATATTTTGCTTAATGACATTTTGTATAAAAGTGTTTATTTTATTTTTTTTTAACAGCGCTGAGGATTGAACTCAGGCATAGACTTTACCACTAAGCTACACCTCCAGCCCTCAGTTTAGAATATTCTGATCACATCTCTGGGAGAGACTCACCAGCCAGTCTTAATAATTTTTAAAAGTACTTCTGACCAAAAAACCCCTTTTATTTCTAAATGGAAAATTTAACTTTACAGTTTAAACCCATTTGCTTTTTTTTTCTTTCCTTCTTTTGTTTCCTTAGATATGTTAGAAAGACTGTCATCCTCTTCCACTTACAGATGGAAGCTTTATAAACTTGAAGCCTGTGATCCTACTTTTAGAAAAATATCATCTTACTGGATATGTTTTCAGACTTTTAATTATTGTCTGCAACTTTCTAACAAACCCAGGAAGGAATACCATATTCCATCGATTTTAAGCTGCAGCTTTCCTCGCATATATATATATTTTTGGTACCGGGGAACGAACATGAGACCTTGTGCTTGCGAGGCAGGTGGTGGAACCATGGAGCTAAATCCCCGGCCCTGCAGGGTTTGGTTTTTGAGGAGGGCTCTCTTTTTGGCTTGCCTCCTTGCTGTGTAGCTCTCCACTGAGCTCAAGCCTTTGTACACATGCGTGTATGTGGGCAGTGGGATCAGACAGCAGGAGAGAAAAAGACAGCTGGAGAAAGCTCTGGTGTCTCCTTATGAAAGGATATGAATCCACCAGATCAGGACCCCACACTTGTGATCTCATTTAACCTTAATTACCTTCTAAAAGCCCAGCCTACAAATCCAGTCACATTGGGAGTCAGGGGTTCAACATATAATTTTTAGGAGGAAAAACACATGATTTAGCTCACAGCAAACTACACATTAAATACAACTGTAGTATAATATTGAATTTCTTGGGTGTGATAATGATATTGTAGTTCTGCAGGAGCTTGTTTTTGTTCTTAGGTGAGCTTGTACAGTTTAGGAATGTGATATCATGATGTCCACCTGCAATTTAGTTTCAGTTTAGGAAAAAAAGTATATCTGTGTATGTACTAACAGGTGTACATACATATATATATGTACACGGATACAGATGTGGTAACATTTTAATAATTGAGATGACCTAAAGTGAATTTAAATAAAGGATAAGAATGTGTATTTTACTATAATTTCGACTTTCGTTTATGTTAGAAAAATTTCAAAATAAAAAGTTGGGGAAATAAATGTAATAGTAATGATGGATTCTTATCATTTAAAAGATCTCAGAATTGATAGTGTTTGATAAATCTTACTAAAACAATTTTGTAAAATGTACTGTTGGCCTGCATTTGTTCAATTTGGGCACCAGATTTTTGACCAAGACAGTCATATAAGATCCACCAATTCAGATATTTCACCTGGAATGAGTTGTGTATCCTTGAGCAAATGGCTGATACGTGTTTTATAATCATGGAAATCTGGACAAATAGCAGTGCTCACATCATACATTTGCTGTGAAAATTAAATGAGAATGTACATATCAATATTCTGAAAGGTGCGTGGAGCTTCGTAAACAGTATCAGTCAGCATCATCAACATAGTCACTATCCTGCTTGTTTGAAAGGCAGTAAACAACCTTACAAGTTTAACCAGAGAAGAGGTTGATCACAAGAGAATCAAGGGTATTCAAGGCCTGGAACTGCACGCAGGTGTCAGGAGAGAGCAGAGCCAGAACTGGGATGCTGGTAGGATCCAAGGTCACCACCCTGTGACCCCTCTGCTCTCCTTCTCATTCTGATACTGTCTCTGCTTCCCTCCATGAGTTTATCTTATCTCCATAGATTATCTTTATCTTTATCTCCATAGATTAATTGTTTTCTGCCCACAAATACAGAAGTTGGGAGTAATGTCTTCCCAACCCTGGGTCTGCATGTCCTCTGCTCACAAGACCAGCAAAGCTTGGTTAGTGTTTGCAAACAGTCACTTAGGGACCTATTTCTCAAGTTCTGAGAGAAAACCTGATCTAGCTTGGGCCAGGAGTCTATTCCTGGCCCAGTCAATGGCCAGAGTGGGGTGTCATGTGGCTAAAGGGTATGTATTAGTGGGTGCTCGTATTTCTCAAAGAGAAGGTAATGGGCCTGAATAGACTTACCTCCATGGTGTCTCCTGGACACCCCAAGGAAGCCTGGAGAAAGAGGAAGACCCTCCCTGGGAGGGTGGCAGCATATCTGAACACGCCTCTGGGCTCTGTTGTGTGTCTCACTAGGGAGTGCTCCCCTCAGTCTGCTCCATAGGGTTCATCTCTTTCCCTTTTATTCTCTGTTCTCAACACCACGAACCCCCTCAAGAGCCCAGGGCTTGGTTTCTAGAAAGCCAGCTGGGCTGGCTCAGAGCAATGGACGCACATGGCAAAGTCTTAGTTATCAGTAGGAAGGAGGTTAAGGGACAAAGCCAGCAATGGAGGGTTGGAAGGGGAAATGAGAGAGCCTGTTAAACTTAAAATCTGTGCTTTCTGGGCAACCTTGCATTTTAACTATAATCATGGCTAAGTCTGCCTCTTTCCAATAAACTTTATAGTGGATTCTTGGAAGCTGGATTCAGTATTCATTAACATTCATGTGAAATTGCTGATTTTCCTCTTCTATTTTCACTAGCTCTTAGCTTCTTTTTGCAACTGTTTTCTTTTTCCTTAAAGAATTCTCTCATTAGAACAGTTTCTGAGCTCAGTCCTCTGGGACCCATCATGGATAGAAAAGCCTCGTGCTCT